GCCTGGGTGACAGAGTAAGACCCTGCCTCAAAAAAAAAAAAAAAGTGAATGAGAGTCCCTTGTTGTAGTCATAAGCTATTTAGTTACCTCATAGGCTAAGGACCCTTTGGCTATGCTCTCACAAAGTACCTAAAGGAATGTAATCAATGTAAACAAGGAATAGATTTGGAAGTGCTGTGGATGTGAAAATCCTAAATGATCAATTATCTCAGTAGTCTGGTGATAGAAACTTAGTTTAGTGTGGGCCCAAGGTCTGCAGTCTCGCTCCTACCCCAAGCACCCTACTCTCCAACTGCACAATACTCCCTAACAGTTACCTCTGCCTTTGCTTATCCTGTTCCCTCAATTGAGACAACTTCTCTGCCTGGTGACAACTAACTTACCCTTCAGGACCAGCTCAGATGTCATTCTGTGACAGGACGAGCTAAGCAAGAAAAGGAAGACAGAAAGGCCCAGAAAGACCTTGAATTCTCACAGTTGTTGATAAGCGGGGAAATGTACAATAACAGTAAAGACAGAAGTGGGGTGATGATCAGAGCCAGATGAAGAATATGGCAATCTCTAAATATAAGAGAAAAAATGGTCATACATTTTGTCTGTTCTTTAGAAGTTATGGGTAAAAGCACCATTAAAAAATAGAAAGCCAAGTGGGTTGGGAATCAGGAAAACTGCATTCAGCTCCCATGTGTGAGGCCTTGGTCAGCCACAAAACTCTTCCTGGCTTAAGGGAGTTAAGACTTGATTTATATAATCTCGTGTAACTCAAACCTTCCTTTGTGCTCGCAGCATGAAGCTATTTATTGATTTCTAAACAAGAATAGAACAAAAATGATTTAATGAAGAGAATGATCAGAGCTTTGGTTTGTTTCTTTCAATGTGGACTTGTTTTCAAATTTCAACTAAATCAAAACCACCTGCAAAAGAACATATCCACTAAATCAACCATGTTTTCCTACATAGTGTACTGAATTTTTCAGTACAGCAACAAACTTAGATCTGACATTGTTGTTACACTCAGCTAAGCCTAAATCATAGCCAGAGGTGCAGATTCAGAGTCTAAGCTAGGTAAGGACTTATGCCCAGTAACTTAGCAATTATTTAACTGGGAGTAAGGAGTAAGCAGATCTGATTACCAGAGAATTTAAGTATTTTGTCAAAAACTATTTTATAAATTCTTTCCAGTCAATTCAGTTCACAATCCAGTAAGTTGTGATCAGAGTCATGGCATTGGTCATAAACATTCTTAGCATGCAAGGTAAAGCAAAGGCTAATGATGCTCCTACACTCTGCTTCCCGCAGGAGATGCTGAACATAAGCCATATATCTGTGGGGATGCAGATTCTGCCTCCACTGTTCTGGATGGGACCGAAGACTACCTCATTCTGGCCTGTGATGGCTTCTATGACACCGTGAACCCTGATGAGGCAGTGAAAGTTGTGTCCGACCACCTGAAAGAGAATAACGGAGACAGCAGCATGGTTGCCCACAAGTTAGTGGCATCAGCTCGTGATGCTGGGTCAAGTGATAACATCACGGTTATTGTGGTATTCCTGAGGGACATGAACAAAGCTGTAAATGTTAGTGAGGAATCAGATTGGACAGAGAACTCTTTTCAAGGAGGGCAAGAAGATGGTGGGGATGATAAGGAGAATCATGGAGAGTGCAAACGCCCTTGGCCTCAGCACCAGTGCTCAGCACCAGCCGATCTAGGCTATGATGGGCGTGTGGATTCATTCACTGATAGAACTAGTCTGAGCCCAGGGTCCCAAATCAACGTGCTGGAAGACCCAGGCTACCTAGATCTCACACAAATAGAAGCAAGCAAACCTCACAGTGCCCAGTTTTTGCCACCAGTTGAAATGTTTGGTCCTGGTGCACCAAAGAAAGCCAATCTTATTAATGAGTTAATGATGGAGAAAAAATCAGTTCAGTCATCATTGCCTGAATGGAGTGGTGCTGGAGAGTTTCCCGCTGCTTTCAATTTGGGTTCAACAGGGGAGCAGATATACAGAATGGAGAGCTTGTCTCTTGTCTGTTCAGGGTTGGAAAATGAACAGTTCAAATTCCTGGGAAACAGAGTTTCTAGATTGTCTCATTTACGCCACCACTACTCAAAGAAGTGGCACAGATTCAGGTTTAATCCAAAGTTTTATTCATTTCTCTCTGCTCAAGAGCCTTCCCACAAAATAGGCACTAGCCTGTCCTCACTTACTGGAAGTGGGAAGAGAAATAGGATAAGAAGTTCTCTGCCATGGAGGCAAAATAGTTGGAAAGGGTACAGTGAAAACATGAGGAAGCTCAGAAAGACTCATGATATTCCATGCCCAGATCTTCCTTGGAGCTATAAAATAGAGTAATTTTTCTTTCAAGTAGGTTAGCTAGCTCTCCCCCAATAAAAACACCACTATCAGAGTAGAAACAAGGTAGACATTTCTAAAACATATGTGCTTCATTATGAATCCATGGATGGCTCAATTCTTCAATGTAAATAGATCTCTAGGAAACTCAAAGTACAGTGTTTTCAATCTAAAAAAAAGTATTGGCAGTTTCACTTGCAAAATTACACAACTGGTCCCTGTGATGTGTCTCGACACCTATATACAACCCCCTTCCCACCATCCCTTCATGTCACTAGTGGAGGCTTTCGAGTTAGTGATTTCAGTCAGGATATACAGTGTTGAAATCTCAATGTGGTTGAAATCTGGTCTGATATGCCTAATATGTCTATGGAAAATTTAATGCTAAATTAAATTTGGTTGGGAAATGTCCCTCAAAATCCTGGGCACTATGAAGGAACCCCCTGCCCCCTAACCTTTTTGGGTAGGTAAAAGACTAAAAGCCATATGGATTTTAACTGACAATAATGAAAGTGGTAAATCAGTGTAAAAGTGTCATATTCTCAGACTTGTGAGGCGGTTTATAGTCAGAAAGATTTATGGATTTTTTTCCTGTAACATAAAAGACTATGAACTTTTTTTTAATTAAAAAATATTTCCTAGGGCTGTAGTTACTTGGGAGTTTCATAACCTGTTATGGTGCTTTTGGTGGAATTTTTATTATTTAGCATTTTAGGAGACCTCTGTCAACTGGTTTTAATCTATGATGCTAATATGTTTTCCACTGTACCCTCATCTCAGGAATAAAACTGATTTAACGGAGATGATGCCAGGTACAAATACACTATAGAGTCAAAATGCCATTTACAAAGAAAATCAAAAGCATTTCTGTATTTTGACTTTTTTTAGTTCAGACAGCAAAGGCATGTAGCACTATAAAATAAAAAGTGATTTTAGAGAATGAGAAATGCTACTTTTATCTTCTCTAAAAGTATTTCCCCCAAGGGAGTGAAGTAATCGGCATGGAGGAGGCTGAAAGTATTGCCTAAAGTGAGCCCAGAAGCCACTGAGAATGCAGATGACTGACAGCCAGGTCTGTTTAGTTGTAACTGGAAGACACATCAGTGTCCTGCTTACATGTAGCTTCAGACCGCAGAGAGAGGACACGTGCTTCTCATTTCAATATTGTATTTGATATTTTGAAACTGTCTTTTTGCTACTTCTGCAGTTTCAAGCTAGAAGCATGTTGTCAACTAAAGACAACAAATAAACTATCAAGATTCATTCATTCAGTGAAGCAGCCTCTGATCCTCTGAGAGTCACAAATGTCTTGGTGTTACCCTGCCCTAGTCAACTGCAGACCAGCCCGGCCAATGCCCACGGGTGGCACCTCTGGAGTGCTCACTCACAAGAGTGAGTGCTCTCGCTAAGAAGTGTCCCCCACCTAATCATGCGTTTATAGGATAGGACACGCTCCCCAGGCCCATAACAGAACTAAAATCCCTGAATTTTAAAGACATAGATGACTGGCATATTTTGGGTACCAGTAGAGCTATATCAAATAGACAAAAACAGTTTCACTTTAGCAATGATCACATTGTTAATCTACAGATTTTATTTTTAAAAATTTGGATGTAAGTAGAGACTTTCAGTATTTGTTTTCTCTTGATTTTGAAGTTATTTCTTCTTCTCAAGTCTGTGACAAATGGTTGAAAAGGAGTCAACATGGCCCCAACTATAGCACTGGAACCTTCATCATTCTGAGGCTTTGCCCCACACATGGTCCTCACTCATAGCTGTCATTTTCTGAAGCCTAGATCTTGTTAACCCATCAGGTGCAGTGTCAGTTTCAAATCAAATTATCTAAGAAAACAAGAAAACAGAGGCAGCAGACTATTGGTACACATTATAGTCCAAAGTGCTTAGTGAAGTAAAATAAAAAAGCTTTTTAAAATTTCTATTGTTGTCTATTGGTAATGCTTTTGATCAGAATAAAGAAGGTAAAGGGGAAAAGTTTCACATGCTAGGCTTTCTCAGTGGGGAAAAAAAATGGCTGGGTAAAACTGGGACAAACACAGACCCATTTTTAAGGGTGTGGATTTTGTAGGTCCGACTACACAGCAGTGTTAACTCATTTCTCGTGCCATTAGCTCTCTAGAAAATAAAGCAAAGTAGTTCTAGTGTGGTCGTTATAAACCAATATTGTAAAAAATAGCAACTATTCATTTGTTCACAACATGCATATTTATAGAGTAGTTAGGTACCATTTGTAAGGTAAATCCTTTAAAATTCTATAATACTAAAATAGTGGTTATTGGTCTGATATATGCTGCTCTTGGTTCTACAAACTAGATAAAAAGCAGTGCTTTGTGAAATGCAGTGTTGTATCTTAACGCCACTGGTGATAGGAAGTAGTTCCCTTCAGTTCAAATCCTGTGCCCTTATTTGCTGCTTGCTGACGTAAGCAATAAGTAACCCTCTAATGGTATCTACATATTTCTGTAACTTGTATTTAATGATGGTGTATCTGGTGATTGTAAAAATATTAGACAGATATAAAAGTATCTATATAATATATATAAACTGTTAATGCTGAGGTATAGTCTGTGAATTATGTGTTTTGTATTTTTATTCATTGTGTAATTTAGTGGTGGTGAAAGTTCTACACTCAATCCTTGAAGAGTGGCAGTATCACTTTTTCAATTTAACATGGTCTGCATCAATCTGTTTGCCTGCTAAACAAGTTTTGTTAGAATAGGAAATAGTAAAATAAATCCAAACAAGAGTGTAGTACTGGTTAGGGAAACAGACTTCAGGTCACCAACTGAAGTCATTACAAACTCCTTGTACATTCACTGTGAGTTTCAAAGGGACTCGGTCCCCAATTTAAAGGTTTCCTTTGTTCAATTTCTAGATGTGTACTTCTGAGGGATATGAGGTTAGGCAACATTACAGCAACACACACTGGGGCTACTAATCCCATTTAGGTCTGTTCTAAAGAGGATGGGTAGAAACTCTTATGTATATACCTTTTCTTTACCTAGAAGTGCCATCCATTGTCCTTGAATTATTACGATTAAAGTTACTGTTGCATTTAGGAGGCTCCTTGAAAGTAACACCTTTTCCAAGGACGATGGCAACAATGTCAATGTCAACACTGAGTCTAATTTTGACCACATTTATAGTGGTATAGTGTCAATACTGCATTTTCATGACAACCACACTCCACTGTTGAACACTGTGCCATGAGAAGTGCAACATCCAGTGGGCAGATGAAAATGATGCATGGTCAAGTTCAGTGTTTACAGATAAAACTGCTATGGTTCAAGTACTTCCTTCCCCATCAAATCCTTGCTAAGGCTTTGTGGGAAAATGATCTAAATTATTGTTTTAATTTTTAAACCTAATTTATTCACTCAGTGAACATTCTTAACTAAGCAAGACTATAAAAGGGAATACTATAGTTTTGTCCATACTTTGATACCATTTTTCTTTGAATCGTACGTTAGCAAAAGAAATTTTTTTCACCTTTGAAAATCACGTGATGTTAAAGGACAAATGCCCACTCTTCTATTCTGATCTGCAAATAGCTTAAATGTCTCTTGCAAAACAAAGTAAGATACTGCCAGTATTATAACACAATGATTTTCCAGACAAATGGTATGGTGTTGAAAAACAATTGTTACTTCCCGTAGCAGCATTTTATCTTCTATTTTGAAGACTATTTATTGTACTAATTAGAAAACATGAAATAGGACAGGGAACTCCAGACTGACACAGCAGTTGTTTTTGAAAAGGAAATAAACTTTGATGAAGTAGATAATCCAGATACATCATTGTAAACTCTTACTCTAGGTGCTCTTTGGTGAGAGACAGGCTTTGTTCTCTTGTTCATAACATTTCTCTGCAAAGAATTCTCTATGGAGTGAAGCGAATGAAGTGAATTATTTCTTACCAAGTAAATTTATCAATTCACAGATCTGCTCTACAGCTCACTTTTGAGTTCAGTTGTAGTCATGAGTGATCCTTCATATTTTATTAAAACTGTTCATTCAGGTAAGAAGTATGTTGAAATTTTGCCAATTATCTTAATAAAACCCAGCAATTTAAAACCACTAGTCATTTGTCTTTTTATTTAAAGGAAAGGTAAGTTATTTAGTGTTTAAATTTGTGCAGATTCCTTCAGAACTGGGAAATAAAATCCTTGGATGGACGTTTTCTTAAGCTTGGAAGCTTGGAACATTTAAAAAGATTTGCTAAATGCTGCTGTAACATTATTTTACCCCAGAAGAGAGGTATTTAGCCTTATACATGTTCTCTTCATTAGCTGAAATGCGAGGAGAGGGAGTGGTGTTAGAATCCTAAAAGAGAAGAGGAACTGGACCTGCCAAGGACTAAGCGGTGGGTCATCAAATCTCCCAACTACTTCATTCTTAGAACTCTGCATCTAACCAAGCTTTCCCCTTTCGCATAGCCTCTTTGAGTTTCAAGCTAGAAGAAAGTAAGGAAATAATCAGGTGAGCTGTGGTGGAAAGCCTCCCAAGGATTGCTGATGGGTGAGCAAAGGAGATAGAGTCAAAAAGGAGAATGTGGGGAAGGGAAGTCATTTACGACACCTGCATCTGAAGGGAGGGAACTGACCTTACAAACAAGTCGACCTTGTCAATACACTGCACTGTTCTCCTCCTCTCTACCAGTAAGGCCTTTACAATTAATTTTACATAGTTTCAAAAATCTTCAATTCCTAATTCCCTAAATTCATTTAGTCCTTGGCATGACTTTATATAGAACCAAATGAAGCAACAATTGAGGAAAAAATAAAAGGTGAAGTTTTGAAAGAATGACATATTTGAAGGGGTTTACTAAAGCAGGGAATGACAGAAAAAGAACATTTTGATTAATAAGTGTTACATTTGAAAAAATTCCCTAAAATATAGTATTACTTAGATCAAAAGGAACACCTCTTTCTGAAGCAGCAGCACACAGCAAGACAGAAGGGAACTACTAGGTACGGTAAAATCATTTGAACATCATAGAAAACCCAAGTTACCAAATTATCAGAAATGACTGTCTGTGCTGACAAGCTGCATAACTGAGCATTTCCCCCACACCCGCCCCCGGTTGCTGTCAGTGTGCATCATTTCCTTTCCTTTCCTTCTTTTGAGATGGAGTTTCACTCTGTCACCCAGGCTGAAGTGCAGTGATGTGATCTTGGCTCACCACAACC